GTCTACAATTTTATAATCTAAAATACAACCAGTCACTGTAAGAACACCTATATCTAAGGCGGGGCACTAAATTGTAAAGTATCATTTCTTTTCACRAAGCTTACATTTATATTTATAAAACAAGGTAAGTCTTCATGAAAGAATTATTCAGTTTTTATAGAAGGATTATCGCACTAATTTCAGTTACAGCCACACTACTATCTCTACCCACTACACTCTGTCTTCATGCAGTTGTAACAAAACGATTCTCCTTCTGTAACACTATATATAATTTGATATATATTATTAAGAATTTTCTAGTATTCTACTGAATAAATACTAATGAAATCTTATGTATTACTATATCACTTATCTATAGATTAATTACTAATACTTATTATTTATTACTTATTAGATAATACTTATTAATTAACACTTATTAGTTAAGTACTATATATTAATGACTAGAATTGTGTAATTTGGTTTCGTTCTTCTTACAGTGTTTGGAGGGGTGATAATAAAGTAATCTTAAATGGATAAAAAATATACTGTTGTCCGCACGAAGTCCTGTAGCGGAAGTTTTCATTTTTTGTATTATCAGTTCCTAGGCCGGGATTTGAACCCGGAACCTCTCGCTTACCGAACGAACGCTCTATCAACTGAGCTACGAAGTCCTATGYAAATGTATTGCATAATATACGTATATATACGATTAATTTCATAACATTTTTAGAATAAATTATATACATGATAGGTATAAAATCCTCCTTGTTTTAAAGTATTTTTATAAAAGTTGAAATTGAAAAAAAAAAGGATCTTCGGTTCGTTTTAATTGTAATTCGGGCGATTGCTCTACCGTTTGAGCTACCAAGGAACCAGTCTACAATTTTATAATCTAAAATACAACCAATCACTGTAAGAACACCTATATCTAAGGCGGGGCACTAAATTGTAAAGTATCAATATTTCTTTTCACGAAGCTTACATTTATATTTAAAACAAAGGTAAGTCTTCATGAAAGAATTATTCAGTTTTTACAGAAGGATTATCGCACTATTTCAGTTACAGCCACACTATCTCTACCCACTACACCTCTGTCTTCATGCAGTTGTAACAAAACGATTCTCCTTCTGTAACACTATATATAATTTGATATATATTATTAAGAATTTTCTAGTATTTTACTGAATAAATACTAATAATGAAATCTTATGAATTACTATATCAACTTATCCATAGATTTAATTACTAATACTTATTAATTATTACTTATTAGATAATACTTACTAAGTTAACACTTATTAGTTAAGTACTATATATTAATGACTAGAATTGTGTAATTTGGTTTCGTTCTTCTTACAGTGTTGGAGGGGTGGTTATAAAATAAATCTTTAATGGGAAAAGTTAACTTCATGTCTTCTAGAAGTCCTGTGTATCATCGACCTCGTTTTTATTTTTTGTATTATCAGTTCCTAGGCCGGGATTTGAACCCGGAACCTCTCGCTTACCGAACGAACGCTCAACCACCTAAGCTACGAAGTCCTACGTAGATAGAACGTTTATATATTTATATTTATATGATTAATTTAAAAACTTTGAAAAATTATAACCTTTTGAAATTTCCAAGAATAAGATATAATTAGAATCTGATATTGTTGTTTTATTTTTTTCGAAGTTTTTTTATAAAAGTTTTTATTTCTTTAAAAGAATTATTCTATTAATTATTAAATATTATTAATATTGATGATTATTGTGATCTTTGATATGAAGAAATCGTTAATGTTTTTGAAAACATTGTGTCTTGTTTATTTACTAATTATTTTTATCTGTTTCGTTCAAACCTTTGAAGAAATCCCTTCAAACTTTTCTCTACTATCGCCATTTGCTTTTATACCCTTTCCCCTTCCACTATCAATTTTCTTTAATTTTGAAAATACTCTTGTATTTTGATTATTATGTTAAAAGTGTATTTCTTAATAAGAATTTCTACTTTATTGTTAAGTTCTCTTTTTTTTTTTTTTTTATTCTTTCGACTATCTTTTGGTTTTCAGTTTAAAAAAATTTGTTTTCATTAAATACTTCATTGTATGATGTCGTGTTTTTTCACGTAACAATTGTAACAACGGTGTAATTAAATTTAAAAAAGAACGTGTATCATTAAACAAAAGTAAAGTAGTTACAAATTTGACAAAATTGTACCAAGAATTATTCTATAGATGAGAATATCTTGTAATATTGAACTGAAAAAAGTAATTCTAACCTCAATATGGATTTCTTCACTTAAAGCATCGAGTTAGATATAATAAAGTTAAAAGAACGTGTGATAAAGAACAGTTGACAAATGATAAAGAAAATTTAAAACTAATTCTTCATAATGTTCAACTATTAAAACAAACATGACGTAAAATTGACGCTAAACTAACGAAATTACAGTTTTAAAGAAGCAGTTAGAAAAATCTATACAGTCTGTTTGTTCATAAAAAAAAAACAATATAGAATAATTAATTTATAAAAACTATCATAATGTTAAAAGGTTACGAAGATAAACTAATATATATTTTCTGTTTATATTAACAAACAAAATTATTCAAAATCCTAAAGCATTTGACATAACCTAAAGAAAAACATATTATCGAAGTTATAATGATAATGAACAATTATATTTCAAACAAAAGAAGAATTATTAAAAACATTAGTTAATAGACAAATAATAATAACAAAAACTATTCAAGATTAGAAAGATTGGATTTTAATTAATACAGTAAAAAATTTATTCGAAACTGTTCTTAAAAGAATGCAATAAAATTTCTAATATTGCAACCAAAAAATGAGTAAATTCAATGTCATAAAATAATAAATAAATTACTCTTTTGCTAAGTATATGTATTCAAATATAAAGTTATTGTTTTTATAAACATTCAAGTGTAGGAATAATTATAAATAAATTTTTTGAGAAATGTAAATCACAGACAGAATAAATCCCTAACAAAAATTATTACGAAGTTTGATGTATTGTACTTATTATTTAATTTGTTTTAAAATGTCATAATGACAAAATTATGTTAATAAAATGTCTGTATGGTATGTGATCAAACATAAACGCATAAAATTAAAAAAAATGTTCTTTTTCTTTTGTTACCATGCGATGGTAAGCTTTAAATGTGGTAATAGATAACAAGTTCAGATTAACACTGTTAGATGGTGCTGATGCTAACCAAACATACCGCCTGTGATCTACAGTAGGCTCTGAAAGATTTTTTGTTACCGCATATAATCGACAGTAGGTTGTGGAGGATGCTTTGTGAGGTCCGCATAAATTACTATTTTAAACACATTAAATACTCTATACTCTCTATATAATTAAAGAACGCAGTTTAATGATACCAAATATGTATAGGAACGATTAAAAAAGGCGGGAAATGGAAGCAAAAAATATAAGTAAAATTAATGCATACATTGAAAATTAATTATACTCATAAAAAAATTTCATTTGATGGTATTAACGGGTTTTGTTAGATTCCTTAAACCTTCCTACGTCATTTGATAGTATTTGTGATCCTAATAGTGGCCTACAGTAGGTTCTGGAGCATTTTTTTGATGCCACCAATAGGCTGCAGTAGGCTGTGGGGATTCCAATTTTGTGCCATCTAGCGAACGTGGTGATTACTAATTGGAAAAATTGTTGCTCGCAAGGTAAGTTGGCATTAACGCAATCTAACGGTACTGTTGTAAACTTAATAAATGTTACAACTTTTGAAAATATACTATCGAATGTAAATAAGGATAAATTAATGGAAAATTTTAATATACTGTCGAAGAAATGTAAAAAAATAATATTGAAAATGGTTAAACAATTTGCGAAACTGATAAAGTTGAAGCACAGTATATAAAAGATGAAATTCATTTTGTTTGTTTATGCAAATATGAGATTGACAAATATAGATTAAACATTTAATTATGTATACTTCATTTATTCATATATAATATAGAATGTATAATAAATGTTTATAAAATAAAAAATAATGAAAATATATTTATTGAACAAAGTTTTCCTTTTCTTTTTTTCTCGTAGTCTTATTTTAATGTTACTTATGCATATCTTCCGACTGCTTATTTCAGATGTTTCATAATTTGTTATTTTAAATTTGGAAGCTTTTTCTTATTACTTAAAAAATATCTTAAGTTACACACGATAGCACATTCAACGAATATTTCTTTTGCAAATCAACATTTTTCTTAACTTCTGACACTTATTGTTAGCTTCATCGTAAAGCACATTTATGTTGACATTTATTTGATTTATATTAATATCATATATATATCCTGTAATTATTATTGTCATAACAAACATGATCCGTAAATATAAATCGTAATATCAAATTTTGTTCTTAATTATTGAAATAACAAAACTTTGAACACAATCAAATACCATTAGTTTAGCAAATTTCAAACTTACAATTAGTTTTGTATAATACCATACTGGAAGAAGTATAACGTATGGTGTTTTGATTTAAAGATGATTCGATTAAACTATTAACACCACATAATTGACATTTTCAGCTCGCAAATGAAATAGGCGTATACAACCAATATTCCTCAATGTATCATTCCATACATTCGGGGATTCCCAGCAACGAAATCAAAGTCAGCAAAATCTAAATGCATTTGTGCATTTGAGGAATCATTCGTGTTCGATTGGCCCAGTAACTTAAATGGAGATTTCTACAAAAAAAAAAAACAAAGTAAAACATTTAATAAATAAATTAAAAAAAAAAAAAATAATGAACCAATAAGAGAATGACAATGACAATTTATACAATTACTTTTTTGTACATATAACTTTGCAAATTATGGCCCATATAAAAAGCTAGCGTTTGAAGGGTTAATATTGATCGAAGCCTCAACGATGGTTCCGGTTGCAACAATCTTTTCAAAAGATCCGTTGCAGCTGGTGAGAGTTTTGCATCGGGTGGTAAAGTCCCAGGTGGAACAGGACAATTCTGTTCTGAACGATCTGAGAAAAGTTCACAGGGTGCAATGGATGGATACTGAAACAATAATAATAATAATAATAATAATAATAATAATAATAATATATAATATTAATATACATAATAAATACTTTAAATCCCTTTTTCTAAAATTGGAAGAAGCACATAAAATATACAAAAGTGGGGGAAACAAAAAAATAAACACAAAATTCATTTAAAAAATACAACAATAAAATATTATAAAATATTTATTATATCTTTTATAATTGTATAATAATAAAAAAAAAAAAAACTAGATTTAAATATCAGGAGAATGATTCTTCCTTCAATCGAAGAAACAAAACAAAACAAAAATCAAAACTTCATTCTTACTCTTTACCTCGAGAAATTCAAGGACCAAGGTTTCCTTCCCGACCGACCCTTATTTTTTTTTTCCTTTTTCTTTTTTTGTGCGTGTACGTTCATAAATATTTGCGCACGCGAGTGTAATGAAGGAAGAGATAGAGATAGAGATAGATAGAAAAGAACGTTGGTAAACTAGCTAAGCTATTACCAGTATGGATTCTTCTATCGCATCAACAGAAGCAATGTGTGTACATAAGTATGAGAAGTAAATACGTTCTCTACGAGATACTATGAGACTAACACATACATATGTACATACGTACATAAGAGGAGGGTCAACGGCCACTCGCGACCCTCAACCTATTCGCACATTCGTGTCCTCCTCCTCCCCCTCTTCCCACCCCCTTCTCATCATTTCTTCTCCTATAGTACGCGCAACCTATGCACACATACACATATATATTTATATATACTACACAATCCTCACGCAATCTCCTATACGTCGAGAATTACGGATTTTTTTTTTCTTTCGTTATAAAATGTGTTATATATATATAATATAATCCAATTTATTATATTATTAAATAATAATATACATAATATATTATAATATATTAGTATAATAGTATTGTAGTATATTAGTATAATTAGTATAATTATGTGTATATTATAGTATATTATATAGTATATTTAGTATATTGTGTATAGTATATTTAGTATATTGTATAGTATATTAAATAGTATATTGTATAGTATATTATATAGTATATTGTATAGTATAATAGGGTATATATATTATGATCTCTATAGCACTTGAATACGCTATCTGGTGGCTAAATTCTAAATTAGAGTAGATAGGACGAATTGTTACGCCACGCCTCTGCCAGAGATCCCAATACCCTATTTTTTAACTTTTTTTTTAATTAAAAGAAAATAACACGAATTTCACGTTTCCTATTATTCATAACCTGTTTTGTTTTTGAGTAACGATTTTTTCGTAACGATAAAGAGGACAGAATTATTTTTGTATAATAATTTTAAACAACTTCAAGGACATTGACAAATGTAAGAAGAATAATCACCGTGTGGTATTTTTCAAAAGAAAAAAGAATAAAGTAAAGAAGAAAATACATAAATCTTATCGTACTAGCAACAATGGTAATATTTTATCAATAAAAATAAATGTAAAATAATTCTGCATCTCATAACATACACACATCTGTATAACATATACACAGAAAGAATGTAAATAAATTAATATTAATATAATTCTCCGTGTTTTGATAGAATAATTTAAACTTCGTAAAATATCATCCTTTCACATACGATTCAATGAATTTAATCTTAAATCTACATTTTTGTTTTACAGTATAATTCCTTTTAAAAAGATCGTCGTCGTCTCTTATCTGACAACGCAACTCAACACAAATGCAACACAAATGCAACACAAATGCAACGGAAATGCAATGTAATCTTTTAAAAATGGGACGTTTACAAGAGAAAGAAAAAGAATAAGAAAAACTTGATGTGATATATAATATTTTCTAACCTAACAATTTTTGCATATTAACAAAACAAAAAAACGAAAAAGAAATCAAAAAGAAATCATCTTATTACATTTGGGAATCCCATACGAGTACGAAAGAAATAGAAAAAGAAACATGGCGCGTGATATATTATTTTCTAAACCTAATACGTATCAAAAAAGAAAAAGAGAGAAAGAAACATGGCGTGGTATATTATTTTCTAACCTAAACATTTTTGAATATTAATAAAACAAAAAAGAAATGAAAAAGAAATGAAAAGAAAATCATCTTATTATAACATTTAAGATTCACATACACGTACGAAAAAAATAGAAAAAGAAACATAATGTGTTATATTAATTTCTAACCTAAAATAATTTCTAGATATCAACGAAACAACTAAATAAAAACAAAAATCATCTTATTATTAAATTTGGGTATCACATTTTATCAAAAAAGAAGCATTTTCTTTACCTTTCTTCTTCTTTTTTCTTTTTTTTTTTCTATTTTCCATCGTAAATTCGTTTGATCATTGCGAATTTAATTGCTCATTAGTCTTTCTTTCTCTCTTTCTATACAACTTTATCATCTTTTACTTCGACATGTGTTTACCATCAACCTTCGCAACGATATAATGAGAGAAAAAGAAAAAGGAAAAAAAGAAAGAAGAAGAAGAAGAAGAAAAAACGCAGGAAGGAGATTCGATTCTCGACGGTGAACGGGACATTTCAATTTCCATCTCGACAAGGACCTTGACCGAGAATAACGGTACAACCATATACACGATCGATCAGATATACGAATAATCTATTAAATGCTATAAATATATGTGATATTTCTTCTTAGTCATTTTTGTTCTTTTCCTCAACTTTATTTTTTATCTTTTATTTTTTATTTTAGCGTTAATGACAGAGACGAGGAATGTAATTTTAATGGAGATTACACATACAAACAGATTAACATAAATTGTATTTTTATTTTTTATTTTTATAATGCTTGTACATTCTGAAATGTTTAAGTTTGTACGTGTGTGTGTGTGTGTGTGATTTTCATTTTACTAATGAATTATATATATATATATATATATATTTATTGTTTGTATGTTTATTTATGATTGAATAACCATCGTAATTAAAATACGTCTATAAAAGTATACTAAGCATGTTTGTTTGTTTGTTTTTTATTTTTCAAAGTATTTTCGGTTTCTTTTTTTATTTTATTTTATTTTTTTTTTTTTTTCAATGTCGAAGAAACAATAAACAAGAAACAACGGAATAAAAATGATAGATTTGTTTTCTTCTTTGTAATAACGAAAAATTATAATGTTCGTAGTATTGTCGCAATATGAAAAAGAAACGAGAAAAACGAAATGGAAACTAGAAACATACGTTAAATAACTAATCTTAGTTGGTTTTTCTATTATAAGGTAAAATTGAATTGCACGTTTGTCAATTGGCATAATCGATGTGCCTAAAATACGTAATGATGAAAAAATGTATATTGTTTTTTTTTATGGAAAACACATGGTTGATAATCCAACAACATGGATGATAATTAATTAGAAATTGTAATTGTTTTTTTTAATAATTATGTTAATAATTCTTAATGTATGTAAAAAAATGTAATTATACAATGAAAAGTGAGTATACGTATGATTGATATAATTATTTATTAATTTTAATTACTTGATTTAACCTCGAAAATCTGATTAATATTAAATCATGACTAGTCAAATGATTGACTATTAATTTTTTTGAAGGGAAAAATTGTTTACAAATAATTGTGTTTTTTGATGAATTAATTACAACGAAAAATGCGTATACGTATGATTGATATAATTATTTATTGATTTTAATAACTTGATTTAACCTCGAAAATCTGATTAATATTAAATCATGACTAGTCAAATGATTGACTATTAATTTTTTTGAAGGGAAAAATTGTTGACAAATTTTTTATGCTATTTGATGAGTCAACACAAATTATTATTGTATAAATATTATATTATTTTTTATTATATAGATACCATTTAAAATAAATATATAAATTTTTGAAAATAGGTTATATTTGATGTATCATGTGATAGAAATAAATAAAATATAATAATAAATCTCGCGATACGTTTAGTATTAAACTTTTGTATGTGTGTATATGTGTGTATCTCTTTTTATTTGATTTATTTAAATTTGTAAAATAATATGTATAATTAATATAATACATAATATAATATACTACGATACAATCGTAGTATATTTACGAATTCGACAACTTAATTTTGACAAATTAATTTCTATAAATTTACGAACAAACTATATTTCTTTTTCAACGACGTATTTATACAAATCGTAAGAAAGTTATCTTGAGACGAGGAATACAAAAATTAGTGTCATCGAACTCGTCTTCTTCGAACCGATATGATCATTTTCTTTCTTTTTAACTATCCGTTGTCAAAAGATGAGAAAGAAGTAAAAGTAGAAAGATTGAAGAGAGACACACAGAAAAAAAAAACATATGAGTGTGTGTGTATGTGTATATGTGAAGTTAGTAACACGTTATATGCTAAATAGGAATGTGTCTGTATTTCGTGTTCATAAATTCCAGTTTGAGAAAGAGAAAGAAATAAAGAAATAGCAAAGAACAGCAGTTAATTACTGAGTAAACTTTAAGTTCAACTATATGCGTGAGGCCATTCATTTTAACATGAACACATACACACACTTATATTACACACGTATATACACCCATGCACGTGTTCTACCCAAAGCGCGCATAAATTTGCGAGCACTAGCTAAAAGTATAATCTTACGGGAAACATTTGTCCTTGAAGAAGCTCTGAAGCTTAAAGCTTTCCACTCGAGTGATTCCCCTATACGTAAATATATATATATATATTATAGTTATAAGGTTCCCTGTTTTTTTTTTTTCTGTAAAAATAACCTATCAGAAATAGACTTATTTTTGTTCTTTGCATATAGAAAGAAATAAAAAATAAAATTTAATTGATCAAGGATATTGAATCCTTTGTCTTTTCTTATATAAAATATTTATTTTATTTGATCATAATTTTGTACCGAGCATATCGCAACATTTGTTAATTTTTATAAAAAAAAAAAAAAACAAGTATATATATATAATAATAAAAGTATTTCAATAAGTTGTTTTTTTTTTTTGGTTAAATTTGACGCT